TTGACAACGCAGCATTTAAAAATATAATCTTATGAAACATTTTAAAGCCTTTTCTTATTTTGAAATCAAAATCACTTTATCTTACTTTGCTGCTTTCAGAATCAAATTACTTAATTTTGAAGAAATGGAATAACCATTGCTTAACACATATCGCAATGGAACAACCTTCAAAGAGAAAGACTTTTTATATGTATAATTTCCTCTAGTGAAAAACAAATTAAATTTTTATAATTCTGTCTTGCTTGAAATTTATTTAAGATTTTTGAGAGAACATATGCGATATGAAAAATAAAGATTCTAATTTGATTATTAGGAGTAGGCTTGTTGTTGTGTGTTCAGTGTAATCAGCGATTTTCCGTTTCCATCTTCAAGAGTCATATTGCCGCTAAAATTGTTTAGTAAGGAGCCTTGGAGCCGACAGTGCGGGAGCCAACAGTGCGAGAGCCGACAATGTCGGAACCCAGTTTCTGACGGATGGGTGAGATTGGACGCGCCGCGCCAGCTGCCGGTCCTCGTCGTACGGCACCGCCATAAGATGACCGCTGCTTGAGGGGGGCAGACAGACGAGATCCCTGGCGTTTGCCTCCGACGGATGGAGCTCCGATGACAGTTTGGCGATTCACAGATTGAGCACCGACAATGGGACGGTCAGCAGGTAGACGTTTGCCGCCCACATTGACTGGAGCGCGATTATCAACAGGGCGCTGTGCACCTGGTGCCAAATTGAGAGGAGCAGAAGCAGCTGGAGCTCTGACCGCGCCCTTAGCTGGCGGCAAATAGGCATTCGATGGTCTCGAAACAGCAGGTCCTGCCACTGGTGGGCGTAGAGGAGGAACTCCTGCGTCTTGGGCAACCGGACGTCCTTCCACTGACGATAGTTTGGATGGTGCTGCGCCGCCAGCCAAGGCACCGTACACCAGGCAACTCAACAGGATAATGTAAGTAGCGGCCATTTTAGTAATCGGAGAAAGGCAGATGTTTTTAGTTGGCAAATTAGTTCGTTGACAACTGATATTTTTCTGATCAAACTCGACGCTTTTATAGATCCAATTCCTGAATGCTCATTCGTCAAGTGCATTAATATTTCAATTAGTCTGTTCCAATTAGGCGCAGATGATTTATCTCATGTGAACATTAATGCATTGATTACCTGATTACAGAATGAATCATCTAATTAAATAAAAGTTGACTTGACCAAATTTCATAAATAATATAGATTTAGATTTGTTTCATGTATTTTATCCATGTACTTTTCTATTACTGTATTCCAGACAATGAAAACTCTGCAGCAATTAAGTCAATATGTCAATGTTTGCATATATTTAATAAAAATCAACCATACGTCGTTTCTATATATATCGCTATTTTCCAACTTATAGGTAAATTCGTCTGCTAAATCCCAAGATTATGTGAGTACACAAAATTTGGTAAGTATTATATATTTCATAGTAAAATTTTTAAAATTATATGCTCATGAAGCACATCAAACGAAATCACACAATATATCCACATATATCAAAATGATTACTGATTGCCATTAGTATCTATGTATCTATAAAGCTAAGCTCAACTTTATGCTTTCAAGCTGGATTCAAAGACCATTCCAATAGTATAGGGACTATTATGAAAACCTATACACTATGCAAATAAGAAGAAGGTTCAGATAAGAAGTTTCAGTGCAGCAAATATTATTGTAGCTCAGTCTAAACTCAATTTATGCTATTTCTATTTAAAACCTGATTGAATCTGATTGTATTTCCGTTTTCCTCAACCTGGTCTATACCACTTTGGTTCATTCTGTTTTTTTGGGCATCGCGACTTTAGGCTTTCTTAATATAAACGGGAGCCATCAGTAATTGGTTCTTAGGGGTTCCATAGTTTAAATGTAAAAAGTAAACGTTGAAGGACATATTAAAAATATTTTCATTTTATTCAAAATAAAATCAAATATATTTTATAATATACAATAAGACCATCAACACCTGAAACTGTTATTTATAATTAATAATTGATATAAATTATTAAGGAAGAAATTATTTTCTAGAATATTTTTATTTGAGTAAAGTTATAAATTTGTTGCGTATGTTTAGTAGTATCACAAGTGGAATTCATATATTAATGATATTTAGTAGGGAGTCTTGGAGCGGTCTCTGCTTGGCTCCAAGATAGCACCTTCGGTAGTTCCAGCAAAAAAAGGCCGTTGATTAACAGGTGTAAGTATAGTAGATCCAGCAGCAATTGGATTTTCGAAGCTTACGGGCAATGTAGTGCCAGTACCCACGGATGGTCGATAGGGCCGTGAATATGCAACAATGCCGTATCCGAACAAAATCAGAAGGATAACGAGAGTAGAACTCATTTTTGCTATCGACAAACAAATAATTATTTGAATTTATAATAAATAAATACAGCATTTATTTATTTAACAAATGATTCTTATTTCTATCAAACTCGGCGCTTTTATAGATTCAACTCAAACAATTAAAAGGAAAATCATTTATTATTTAATTGGCAAAGAAGATTACAGCTTGACGTATATACTATAAACAATAATTTATAGGGACTCATTATTCGACACGCGCCAGTTTTAAATGAGAACAAACTTACTTTCGGAGATTCACCTTATATTATTCGAAAGCGCCGGTATTTTTTAAAAATGAAGCACGTGTATTAATTAACCAAAAATTTGACAAAAAACAAATCTTGATTTTAAATCCCGAAGGCAACAAAAATAAATATAAGTAAAATAATTTTAAGGTCTATGCAAATAGTAAATAATATAAATTGTTTAAGCTTTTAAAATACATTTTAATGATTTTTGATGAAGTGAAATGGGCATATAGGTTTTTGTAATTTAAGCAAAATACTCTTAATTCAAATAATATTATCGGAATATGATCTGATAAAACCTAAAAACATTCTCTAGGGATTGTTTAGATAGGGCAAGCTCTATTTGTCATATATTTCCCACTAGGGTTACTTAACATGTTAGACATGTTTTTGTTTTTAAGAGCGACTTATTAAATCAAATTATACTTCCCTCGGAAAATAAAATAAATTTCAATTGATTTGAGTTTCATGGAAGCGTAAACTAGTATAACGCGTTCAGTTGCATCCTACTATGTATATTCGACTTAGTATATTATATTAATTTCGATTCTATCCCATCTAACGTGATGAATTCAACTTTAAAGTTTTAGATTGGATTATAATGAAGCTATCCCCATTTTGACTAAACAAAAATAATTAATAAATACTAATTAATTAATTAATATAATTAAAAATTAATTGTCTTTAACGTTACTATATTGTACACTTTTTTTTGCAATAAGTTTATTTTAATATTTGTATGTAATAGTCAAGAATTCTATAATAATTGTTTTCATCATATGCTTTGTGGGTCGTAAGATCCGATAAGTGCATAAACATACACTTATCTGATATCATGATGTTTAGTAAGGAGCGGTGGGGCCAAAGGTACGAGAGCCATAACCGCTCTTTGGGTTTGGTGCAGGTACAACAGGACGCTGGATAGGACGCTGGACAGGACGTTTGCCACCTCCTGGGCGTTTTATTGGTCCTGGAATGACAGGTCCTGGAATGACAGGTCCTGGAATGACAGGTCCTGGAATGACTGGTCCTGGAATGACTGGTCCTGGAATGACTGGTCCTGGAATGACTGGTCCTGGAATTACTGGTCCTGGAATGACTGGTCCTGGAGCTACAGGGCGACCAGAGGGTCTGCAAACAATTGGTGATGGGCGTCTGCCTACTCCTTTAGATGGTGGCAAATTAATAGCAGGTAGCTCAACTGCGGGTAATGTGATTTCAGGAATGCGCACAGGAATTTGGACTGGGCGTTTGGCAAGCTGGCTTCCAGTTGGTGGCAAAGAGGAGGGTGGTGGTGGAATGGCTACGATGCCGTATGCCAGGCAGCTCAACAGAATAACGAGAGTGGCAGCCATTGTTGATATTATTTCAAAAAGGTCTGTATGATTGTTGCTTGTTTGTTGCTCAGGGACAACTGATGTCTTTGTTGAGAAACCTTGGCTTATTTATAGCTCGAAATTCCCGATAAAATTAGACCAAAACACTCAATTATGATCTTTATCAAACCCTAGTCATTAAAAAGATAAGAAAAATGCAAAATGAAATACTTGATCTAATCTAATAACCCAATTTGAACAGAGTTTGGATTTGCTTCAGTATGTAGCGGTGGTTGAACTCTGAACTTAGGACTACGAGACAGAACTTTAATGTATCAACTATGACAAGCTTAAGTGGGTAAGTCCGAGTAATTCGCTTAGTGAGCTTGATGACTTTGTCAAAAAAATTGTAATACTTCTGTTTTTGTATAAACCGGTGTAAAAATAAAATTAAGCAGAAAGGCATTACTTATTGGATTTACGATGGGAAATTTATTATTTAATATTTTTTTCAAATGCTCCGATGTTCTATTTTCCAAATCACAAATCCCTTCTGTTGTAAAAATTTGATTGATTGATATATACAAAATCCGAAATCTACTAAGTCGGTGTATTCATGTCCCGTACGAAGTTAAAGCCTTATAGACTTCCCATAGCAAACTTAGAACATGTTTGCATTAAATAACCTATAACTTTTCCGTTCCATTGAATAAAACTAAACTTATATTAAAATCTGTATATGTCGTACATTAATTTCATTTTTTTTTTTTTTTTCAGAATAGAGCTTTCTTATTTACTCTTAATTAATTTATGACCTAAACCAGTGACTTTAGCAAGATAAATCGTCCGTGAACAAATAGTTGTAGACTTTGTATACGAATTCTTCGGCAGAATCCATGAGCCTCTTAACAAGGTGTTTGTGACATTGATTGTATGATAGGCATCTATTGCTGATATATTGTATTGCTTCTTTCACATTTCCTGATTTAAATAGGAAACTATACCATAGCCTCTGTTACTAAAAATAAATGTAATCTATTCAATTTTCTGCTTCGCTAGTAATAATAAAATACATTTTTGTGTTTGTTGCAGCTATTTGTATATTTTTGTAATTATATAGTTGATATAGTTTATTCGAAAGTTATATAATGATCGTTTTCATCGAATGTGCAGGAATTTCGGGTTTCAAGACCTCAATCACCTCATCTCATGATATTTAGTAGGGAGCGTTAGGGCCGACGGTGCGAGATCCGCTCTTGGAGCATCCAGCGGAGATCGGTCTTTGTGGAACAGGTGCAGGTGCAGCTGGTTCAGCAACAGGACGCTGGACAATTGGGCGAGGAGCTACGATGAGAGACGGCCTCTGCACAGATGGCCTCTGGACAGATGGCTTCTGCACAGTTGGCCTCTGAACAGATGGACTCTGGTCAGATGGAGCAGGAACAACGGGGCCATAAGAAGATGGACGTTTGCCGCCCACGTTGGTTGGAGCCCGAACAGTAACTGGTGCAGGCCTAACAGTTGCAGGAGCTGGAACGGGGGGTTCGACCACTCCCTTAGCTGGTGGCAAGTAAGATGGTGATGGATTGTTAACCACAGGAGCTGGCAGGGCTGGGCGACCGCCAGGTGAGCTTCCAATTTGCGAAGGACTGGCTACGATGCCGTATGCGAGGCAGCTCAGCAGTATAACGAAAGTGGCAGACATTTTTGATATTTCAGAAGGTTCTGTATGTGTTCCTTGAGGACAACTAATGCCTTTCTTCAGAAACCTCGGCTTATTTATACTTCCAAATTCATATAAAAATTTACTCAAGGCACTCAATCAAGATTTCAATCTGTCCCTACACAAAAAACAGTTAAGAATAACGCAAAGCTAAGTACTTGATAAATCTAATAACCTGATTTAGTTATCGGAGAGCTGTGGTATGCTCCAGTTTTAGCGGTGGTTGATCTCTGAACTTAGCGGTACGAGTTTAGATTGTAGTGCAATAAAAGTATAGATTGTAATTCAATGTTAATCTTACAAGTTTGAAATATACAAGTACATATAGCCGGAAGGGGCCCTGTTCCTGCCGACGCTACTTTTTCAATCATAGATACAAATAATGAATTAATTATGGAAAATAAATTCCTAAAACACTTTAATCTCTTTTATGGCTAGCAGTTGCTCTACTATAAAAATTAACCGCTTTACTCTTTCAGATTATACGCATTAATTCAATTCAGCTATTAGATTAGCTCGTATGACTTTACATCTGCTCGAGTCTTCAGATTTTCATCTAGTATTATGCGAATTGGATATAGGCTTAAAATACTACCAAAACTGCATTAAAGTCCATTAAGTAACTTAGAAATTATTAAAAAAAAACCTTTGACCAATTACCAAAGGAACGTGGCAGCATATGCATTTTACCTTTGCACACATCTAAGGATAGAAATAGATATTGAATTATGTTTGAATTGTTCTTACTAGCAATGCCTATTTTTTCCCCTCCCCTCTTTACACCCTACAAACACTTATACACTGAGGAGCATATATAAGGAGAAAAATCTGCCGGCGTTAAGGGTATTATCTAGTCGAGCAACATATATGTACCTTCATTCTTGTTTCTAACTTGTTCATAACTTTATTTGTGATTTCGAATATAAATTCTACGTATTGAGAAGGTCCCAACCGTGCGACTCTTCCAATCTACAATATATATTATGACTGCGCATTTGCGTGTATTGGTAGTAATATTCCAACCAGTATGAAAACTTCATTCTTTCTACTCCAACGTCTTACGCAATTTATACCTGAATGAAATATAAAACGTTTGATAACTTTTGTACTTGTAAATCGAAATAACAATTTATTTATTTTCATTTTGTCTTCAAATTAAAGAATAAAAAACTGTTTTTTCTTTGTAGCTATGTGTTTATTTTAGTAATTTGATGAATTATTTGGAAAATTGGTAATAAATGTTTTCATCGCAAGTTTTGGGGGTCACAATTTTGAGTGGGGGCTGTCTTGGTATTTAGTAGGGAGCGTTAGGGCCGACAGTGCGAGATCCGCTTTTGGAACCAGAAGAAACCGGTCGCTGTACAGGCACAGCAGGTGCAACAGGACGCTGGACAATGGGGCGAGGAGCTCCGATGAGAGATGGCTTCTGCACAGCTGGTGCAACAGGACGCTGAACAATGGGGCGAGGAGCTCCGATGAGAGATGGCTTCTGCACAGCAGGTGCAACAGGACGCTGAACAATGGGGCGAGGAGCTCCGATGAGAGATGGCTTCTGCACAGATGGATTCTGGGTAGATGAAGCAGGATCAACAGGACGGTAAGATGATTTACGTATGTCACCCACGTTGACTGGAACTCGACCAGAAACCGGGCGCTGCGCAACTGGTGCGGACACAACAGATCCGAGAGCTAGTTGAGCTGGATTCGAGGGTATGGACACAAGAGGCTCAGCACCTGGACGTCTGCCCTGCTTAGCTGGTGGCAAGTAAGATGACGATGGTTTGTTAGCTACGGGACCCAGGACAGATTGAGCTGGGCGACCGCCAGGCAAGCTTCCAATTTGCGAAGGACTGGCTACAATGCCGTATGCGAGGCAGCTCAGCAGGATAACGAAAGTGGCAGCCATTGTTGATGTTATTTCAGAAGGTTCTGTATGTGTTGCTTGTGGACAACTGATGTCTTTAATGAGAAAGTCCAGCTTATTTATAACTCCAAACTCCCAACAAAATTTGGCTAAGGCACTCAATTAAGATTTGAATCTGTCCTTACACAAACAAATTAAGAACAACCCAAGTTAATTACTTGATATATCTGATATATCTAATAACCTGATCCCAAAATATATTACTGACATTGGATTTGCTCCAGTTTGAAGCGATGTCTGATCTCTGAACTTCATATTTTATAATTATATATTACAACTAAAAATACAAAGTGTGTGAGGCTTAAGACCCGAATAATTGGAGCTCTGTCTGACTTTGTGAAATAAGTTGAATGACTTTTGTGTATGGATATTTTTATTGAATACAAAAATAAATTTTAATGTTTACAATTGTTGTTCTCCACAAAACAATTAATTTTGCGATGGGGGAGAGCTAACACATTTTCCAAGATCGTAGAACGAGTAGGCTATTGAGAAATTCGTAGATCAGTTGCTTATTATTCTCAAACACTCACAGTTAATACTCACCCCTTTCGTGGGTGCATATATAGTTGCGCATCTCGCACTCATTGCTGAAGGTTATGTACTCCTCCTGGAAGAACTGAGCACAGACAGGCTCAAAGTTTCTCTCGCACGGCCTCTCACAGGTCTTTTTGCAAGTCTCTCGATCCGTTTCCACCAGCTCCGCCTTGCCCTGATCACGGCGCGCACATTGCTCGACCTCTAGCAGGCACCTGTTATGGATCACATGACAACGCTCTTCGTCGGTTGCCCAGATGTAATCCTTCTCCGCCGAGCACTTGTACTTCACATTACAGTCGAACAGGCTGTGTCGCGCCTCCGTTCCCTTCAGTATGGCCAGAAGTGAAAGCAAGGCGATTGCCAATGCCAATTGATTTTTGCTGCTATTCCACATCTCTCTCATTGACGGTTTTCCTAGTAACTTGGCTATTTCAGCGGCATCGGCACGTTTTTATATGACTTTGCATGCATTGACGTCACTTCGTGGGATTTTTGCAAGCCGACAGGTAACGAACCTTTATATTTGTTTATACAACCACAATAGATATTAATTTTATCGTTTCATCGACAGATTTTAATTACTATTCATTGAAAAACGTACTTGTACTTTAATTGGGCTTTTATTATAGTATTCAAACTGAAATGGTATATCACTACCATCTTCACTCCATATGAATATAATTTAGTAATATTATATTTCGTCATATAATAAATGAATCAAAATATTTGTTCTCTGACTCATTGTCATTGATTTTTAAAATCGTAAACTTCAAGCTAATTCATAATATATATCCATATTCAATATATTTACAATCTGTTATCTCGATCAGAGTTAAGCTCAACTTTATAATTTCTATTGCAGAAACAAATCCCTCGTAACACAACATTCTTATAGCTTGACAATTGACTCAGGGTCATAGAGTTATGACTTCTTTATTTTAACATACCATTTGTTAGATCAATGCCGTCTAAACTCTAAACTCATGTTGAATTGCTTGTATATAGTAAAAATCCATCAAGACAGCATTTGCCACTGTTTTTTTTTCCAACATTCATTAAAGTTTATGAATATAACAAAAATAACTGTGTAAATAAAAAGTAAACAAGTTTTTCGCGTCTAAGTTATAAAACAGGTTTCAATGTAGGAAAGTATTATTTGGCTTTTTTGCACTTCGGCTACTCTTTTAATACTTTTATTGTTTTAATATGATAGAATTATTATAGTAGATGAAATAGAATTATTATAGGATATGTTGCACATTCATATACGATTTTAATAAAGCCAAGTTCCGTAAAATATTAATTAGATAGACGATAGACTAAATTTCATGAAGCTCCTGGGAAAGGGCTTAACACAGATACCGAAATTTATACTGTCCCAATATACTATAATTGTTAAAGTATTAATTAATTGAAGTTTAAAATTGAGTTGATAAAGTTTATTGATAAAGTTTATACTAAATTTGATTATATTGATTGAGCCTATTTCTTATATACTCTAAACTTAAAATTTTTAATTTGCTAACAAGTCTTCTTATCAAAAAAAACGTAGGGCTTTCTGCATTGAGAGAAGCCGTCTAATTTTGTTTGGAATTCGTTTTAAAAGCTTGCCTTAAAAGACTCTGATTGTCAATCACAATCACATTAAAAAAATTTAAGGTCTATATAAAATATTATCTTTTTAACACAAAAGTTAATTAACTAATTAAAGATATGAACAAAAATCACATAAATATGTTAAGGTCAAGACAGATCAGCTAATTAGTATTGACAGCTGTGACCCAAATAAGGAAAGGTTATTTAAATAATATAATTATAGCATATTCAAATTTTTCATAAAAGATCCTCAAACGTTTCCTATCCTATATGTGTATGATATGAGTACTAAATGTAGAAATAACTACAAAATAATTGAAATTTTTGCTCTATTCGTTCACTTAATTATAAGTTTTCATTTTAGTCAAAGAAAGCTGAAAAAAGAAAACAGACATCATTTTGGGCTCTGGTTTATATACGAGATTACGTACTTTCGCCGGTTTGGCAGGTGTGCACAATCTTTTCGCATGCATTGCCAAAGTGTCTTAATTGGCCCTTATAGGTGCCTCCAACTGGTTGATAAATTAGTGGGCAGACCCTAGGGCAGAGCTTTTGACACTCCTCCTTGGTCGAAATGGTGAGTGCTGTCAATTGTATATGATTTTAATTAAATAGTCACTGAGTTGAATTGACAGGTTCAGTTGCTTACGCGGCTTCCGGTGGCAGTTCTCCCTGTCGAAGTAACACTTATTACGGAAGACACTGCAACCGCCCCCAACTGCCCACACAATATCCTCAGTGTCGGGACAATCAGCCGAGCAGCTGGCAGTGGCGTGACTTAAGGCCAGGCCAAGCAATACGAAAACCGCGTAAATTAGCTTCATTTCGACTGTTTAGCATCAACTGCTGCCACATTGCCCAATGTAATGGGAATATATAGCACAATCTAAAAATGAAACTAGCTTGAGCATTTGAATATGTTTGTATATTAGTAGGTATGTTTACTAAAATGCTGAGCAGCTGATAAAATAAACAGGTTTTGTTCACACACACACACACATACACAACAGTTGTTCATAGAGCGAGAACTCTCCATGCAAACAAACAATATTCAGATTTTACTCATTAGCTTATTAAATATGACGTAAATCAAGAGACCGTGTTGATAAGGTTAATGATTTCTGTACAGTAATTGGATAAGTGAATAGTTTAATCTATCAATGGGTGTATCCCAATCTGAAAGCGAGCTCATAGACCATTAACTAAACTAACCCACGTAAATCTAAAAATGTATGTTTAGTTCTGGCTAAGAGCTAATAGGTTTCTCTTTTGTGTTTATTATAGTGCTAGAGAAATTATCATTTCTTTGATAAACAAATCACATATGTAAATAAGAACAATATTAACTTGTTTTAATATTTGAAAATCAAATATTGTAATAATGTGTACTACTACAAATTAAAGTTAAGGTTATTCAAATGACTTGATTCATTGAAATATTAATAAGTATCAGATTCCAAGAATATATATAGATCTGAGACTTTGATTTGAAATTACCGATTAACTTTTATTCATTGATTTATTTTTTTTATTGCAATTATTTATATTTTTTATTTATTTATTAATTAATTTTTTTTATTATTTTTTTTTTTTTTTTTTTTTTTTTTTTTATTTTTAATTTTATTTTTTTGTATACAACAAAATTTATTTCATTAAAGTTTGAGGTTTTTGTTAAAGAGAACATGTTAAGCTTTCAAAAATACCAAACCTATTCAGTTGAGCAGCACTGTATATGTTTATAATACCTTAACCTTATACCAACTGATATAGAAATATTATTTGGTACACCTTTAAAAATGAATTATTTTAAATTTCTTTATTTTTATTCATATTGTGCTAATTCTCCTCGAGAACAGCTTCAGCAAAGCCAACACGTTTGGCGTCCGCATCGAAAACGCTGTAAACGCGCGTCAGGAATATATCGCCCAGCACCCAGAAGCTCTCATCGATTGGCATAAATCCAGCGATACAGATCGTTTTACTGGGAGTTTCTAGCTTAACCACATAGTCGGCAGGGCTTAAAGTAAACTTCTTCTCTCCGACATGGAAGTAAACATCTTGCAGATTCTCCGCCTGGCAGCTAACGACGTTCGATCCGTTCACAATGATGGCCCCGATGGCGCGCTGCAGCTCCTCAAAGAGATCGATTGGCAGCAGAATAAATGAGGTGCCCGTGTCCAAGATGACTTCAATCTTCTCTGCCACTTGTCGATTGCCCACAGCCACGCTGGACATCTCGAACTGCCAGTAGCCGACCCTGGACAACGGAACATAGTGGAGATCGCCCAGGTAGCGGGACTCGTCAATGCCCCCAAATGTGATCTCGCCGCCATACAGCTCGCCAGGCATGCGCCGCAGATAGACCGAGAACAGGCAATGCTCGACGAGATGCTGCTGGCAGAGGAGCTCCAGGAAGGGTGTCGTGTTGCGCCAGCCAATCTCACCGAAGCCCAGGCCCACGATGCCATCGAAGGTCGTCGGAATGAAGGCAGGCTGATAGTGCGTCAGCGTCTCCCCGAAGGTCACGCCGGGCACAACAACATCCGCTAATCGCAGCGTATCCTGCGACAGATATCCACTCACATAGCCACTGCCGTAGGCCATCGAGTAGTTGCGACCAATTGGCACGTGGCTCTTCGACTTGCGCGCCTTGTAGCGGCTGTGCAGCTGGCAGGCGATATTGCTCTCCGGGCAATTGCTCGAGGGCAGCCACGTGTTGGCCGAGCCCGTGTCGAAGATCACCCTGAACAGCTGTGGGGGCGTGCCCATGCTAATGCGCCCATAGTACTCCATATTGTCTCTATTTTCCAGTGTTAGCTTCAGCGTCTCAGTTGCAAGAAAACTGTGCAATTGCGGACTGGCCAAAGGCTTCGCCTTCACCTCCAATGACACTCGGAGCATGAGAGACTTGGCCAAGGGGCTGACATATACTTGAAGTAGGTAAAAAACTATTATACACATTTGTAACATCTTCGATGAGGCTTGTCCGAGAACTGAGCTATTTCGCTCTGGACGCTGTTAGCTGCCAATACACCTGTTGGCTGTAATGAGCCCATTAAGGCCAACCCATAACGTGTGCTTAGGCATACCAATATATTTATAGGCAATACAATATTAGGGGGAAATAACGGGAATAGCAATGATTTTTTAAAGTATTTAATACGGAATGTTCCCATTTTCAAATGCGGTTATCAGTATTATTTATATATTGATTTGATTTTGGATTGGTAAACCTATAAAAGTATTTTTTATGTTTGAGTAATCAACTTAGTTCTTCAGGGCATCGCACAGTGGTGAAAGTCCTTTACAAGGCGATTCCTGCCAGTCTGTAAAAATGTATTTTTTATTAATTAAAATATAATAAAATATATATCAATATATTAACGAAAGATGTAGTCACGTAAGACTAGATTAAGTTGCCACTCAGAACACATGTTGTACATCCAATATATAAATATGTGACTTACTAATTCCCTTAGTGCAGGCATTAACTCCCATCACACAGCTGTTTGAGAACTCGCAGCGCACCGGCCTTCCCTTGATCGTGGCCTGTCCACAGACCGGTTTATATATCGCTGGACAGATGCTCGGGCAATCGTAGGCGGCGAATATTTGGCCACAGCAGAGCAGCAAACCGATTAGCACCAAGCAGAACTTCATTGCGATGGAGAGTGACAATGGAATATTTGTTAGTCAAATCATCCGCAAGCTTATATAGCGACTGTTTGGCATTTGGCTAAAACTGGTTTCCTCTCTGAGAACGTTGGCATAGAGAGCAAAACAATTGTCATCTGCGTAGATGTGCGAGCATATTAATTAAAAGTGAATCCCAATTCGTATATGAGTGGAATCAGATAAACAAACACACTATGATTATTTCTGTGAACAGTCATTCCAGGTACTTATTACACCTGACTTGCAAAATAATTACACGAGTGTGAAACCTGAAGCCAGCTATCGTATGACTCTCGCTCAAAGCTGATCATTAATCTGGGCTTGACTGAAATATTGTAATAAATTTATGTGGGTTAACCGAATTGACCATTCGATTTTCCATTTAGAAACCTCATTTTATGCCACGAATCGATTCGTTACATAGCAATTGTTGGCAAGCGTGGCAATAGGTCGAATAATATTCAGTACGCCGCTATGTATACCAGCTGGATGTGGAGCGTCTTGTGGCTCATAGAGGTTTCGAGCTGCTATTTCATACGCGAGCATGTTGCAATGGGAGACCTCGGAATTGGAGTTCATTACGATAACATCAATTGTTGTCCGCACCCTTGTAGCTATCCTTGTGTTGAACTACTGAAGCCATACAAACCACACCGACCACATAAGCCACACAGGCCCCATAGGCCACACAAGCCACACAGGCCTCACAGGCCACACAAGCCAGTAACACTCATAACAACCGAGAATCCTTGCTCGACCACGACGTCTTGTCCAACCACAACGGCACCCTGCTCGACCACAACGACACCCTGTCCGACCACGACGACACCCTGCTCGACCACAACTACACCCTGTCCGACCACGACGACACCCTGTCCGACCACAACGACACCCTGTCCGACCACCAGACGGACCACGACACCCTGTCCGACCACCAGACGGACCACGACGTCCTGTCCGACCACTAGGCGGACCACGATGCCCTGTGCAACCACGACGACATCATGTCCGACTACAACGACGCCCTGTCCGACTACCAAACGACGGAAAAAACACAGGTGTTGCAGAAAGTCCCATAAAAACATTTATATAATCATAAATCAAATCAAATGATATCCATAAGTTGCCTAAGGAGAGTTAAGGAGAGGAGGAGAAAACTAAGGGAGTAACACAGATGAACACAATTCATAAACCAAATAAATAAAGCGTTTGCCAAATATTGTCATAAATCATATGTGTATTTAAGTGCAACTCTTCTTCAGTTAATGTGAGCTTACATATAAATAGAGGACGTCAAATTGAAGAAGAGATTCATTACCCTTTCATTCAGTACAGTCAAGTGCTTCAAGCGTATTCAATTTATTTACAAATGAAAGACTTTACTTTCGAAAGGGGCAAAACAATATGCGACTGCAAAGCTATCACAGAAGAAGGGAATGTGCCCGGCCAAGAAATACCCTAAAACGTGCTCTATCCATTTTTGTTATCGAACTCGGACTGAAATGAGTATACTCTGAGTCACGTCGGACTATACCTAGAGGCATAGGTAGCTAAATATGTATAAAATAAAGAGTGACGATTTTTGGATTCGCCCTTTAGATGTGTGGAAAATCGGGAATAACTATATCAAGCTTCACGTTGATATTCAAAGAATTTTCTGAATGCTGTAACTTTTACGAGCTTTACAGCTGAAAGCTGCCGTCGAAAGGCTCGAGACTGGCTGGCCACAAATATAATTAATATATATTATATAATAAAAATATATTTATATATACCCCCAATAGCGAATCTCAATGCTCACAGAGTATATCAACATGCATAACAACATCTCTACATGTGGATGACTTTCAAAAGCGTCTCTCTGTCCAGACCACTCGACTCGACTCTAGTCCAGTCCAGTCAAGTCAAGTCCAGCGGACAATTGAAGAAGATATTGTTGCCAGAAAGCCAGGTGCCTGTTGTGTTTTGGCAATTAAAATTATGTATGGTAAATTGAAATTTCATGCCAAATTATTTACAACTGAATTCACAAATCCCTCTGAAACTGCTATCGAGCTCTGTGTTGGGGCAGATTTTTTGATTCATCTGTTGTTATTTGTACTTTATAAGTACGTAAGCTCCCTGAAGTATATATAATAAAATATAATTTTACAGACGCAGATTTACCACAATAATTTAAAAGCCTAAAACACGAATTAAATACGACTAAAATATACGTAGCACCCACAATTCTTACTTTTGTTGGAAATTCATATATTTTATTCGTTTTTTTTTTTTTTTTTTTTTAGTTTAAAAGGGTATATTCGCCTTTGTACATTGTTCGACTGGCTTTAGAGAATTTAAATTTAGATGACTAAGCTGAAGCCAAGTTTATAATTATTTTCGTTTTAACAGAAAAGGGAATACAATTATAAATATTCATATATATGTTTGATAAAATGAAAATTATTAAATGTTTATAGAATAAACGAAGCACCCAGAAAGTAAAAATGTACTATATTAAAAATATATGTATATATGTATATTTAAAAAAATTTTTATTTTTGTTTTATTATATCACATATTGTTTTCAAAAAATTTATTTTAATTTTTCAATATAAATTTATTTAATAATTTTAGTTAATATAGTAATATTTTTCTCATATATAGTAAAGAAATTTTTGTTGTATATTAAAAAAATATATTAAAAGAGAAATGAACTCTACTGAACACAAACAATATGTTATTTCAAAATCATCCGTGATCGACTGAAAAATTCTCTACCGACTTTTTCTTTTGCACTGTTTTTCTAATGTTATTTAGCTTCGCTCTTGGCTCATTTACTATTTGATTTTGTGGATGCCAAATTGTTGTTTTATTTACACATCAAATATTGTTTATTTAATTTTAAATATATTCAGATATGAACAATTGAACAATTAGGCTTGCTCTTCGCTGCCTTATATCACAATGTCAGACAACCCAATAATAAAATACAATTTTGTGAATAGTGACGTACATAAACTATTATTATATTATTATTTGTAAATAGAATTTTTAGCTTTTCTGTTTAGTTTCGGTTTTTTCATACTTACCATTATACACGTACACAAATGGGAATTGCACAACTGAAATGAAATACAACAAAAATGTATACAATAGCAACATTAATAGCACATATTGTGATTAATTAAACAACGCAAGTGATAACGGCTAAAAGGCAAATCGGTATAAATGCGAGCTTCAGATGAGTCAAAATTCTAGTTTCACAACTGCAACATGTGTAAATTGTCGTTCTCCATCGCACTGTGCGCCGTAATCGTCTGTCTGAGCACGGCTCTGTCCCGGTGTTGCCCTCGGAAATGCGAGCTCGCATTTCGCTGCGATCCCTTTTACAGGGAACCAGTGTGGAGTATTGTTGATGGATTCTGCCGAGGCTTCCAGAATAGCTGCATATTCGAATCGGCGAACTGCAATCGTGTGAACAGCTGCCAAAAAGGTTAGTTACCTAGGAATTTCTAGGCATATTTAACAACCTCTGTCTATCACGTAGCTTTGGTAAGAATAACACGAGAGGAGTGCAAGAAACGTTGCGTTCAGATCTGCCCACTGGGCGGCAGTGGTGTCTGTGCTACATTCGGAGATACTAACAGGGAAGGCGCCCCCATAACGAGGACCAGAACTTTCCTGAATCGCTGCCTCTTGGATCAACACTCCTGCGTAAACGGAATACGTATGAAAATATCATATAATTATACTCGAAATACCCCCACTAAATAAGAAATAATATTATCATTTCAGCGTATATCGGCGTAGAAGAGGGCGAATGCAGGCAATAAGTACCTTAACTAAAATGGAGTTGAGTTGAAGTACCGGAACTTGGATATTTCATCAGACAAAAGCGAAAGTGCACAGCTCGAACCGATCACTTGTTATTGACCCCCAACAAGTGTTAAAGTATTTTTATAAATTTTATAAAAATATTGACACAATTTTTGAAAACAAATAAACACGGCAGAAGTAAATGAGAAATCGAATGAATGTTGAGTTTTAATGTCATTACAAAAATTGCACGCGAGAAACAAGTCAGAATGAAAACCGGACTAGCTCCTGGCTTCAAACTTATTTTGCTTATATTGCTCGGTTCGATTGGCACTATCTTTGGACAGTTGTTCTCCTTGCAAGGTGCGTCAATGTCTCGTTGACAAAAAAAATGAAATTTTTAAATAAAATAATCGCCATTCCCAACATTTTTCAATAGGACCCAACAAGTGCCACGACGTTTGCCCCACAGGATATCGCGTGGTCTGTGCCCTGCACGACGGTTGTCTGCGAACATTCGCCAGCAGCTGTGTGATGCGCATGTATAACTGCAAATATCAGAAAGGTGAGTGCTTGCTGAAGTAATGGATATAAACATCGAGAAATTTCAGTCCTTTTTCCTCTCTATCTGTTGCTCTCTTCCAGACTATCGAATAATATCTAAAAGAGCCTGCGAGTTCATAAGCAACGAGGACCTTCAAAAATTGGAGCTCTAGCGGCGACAGCGCGGCCGACAGCACCTTGCAGCAGTGGGAGATGGACGCTAGATGTCGCCACAGTGCCGCGCGCATGCGTTGCAATATATGTATATAGTTCAAAGTGGCTGTGGCATGGCAGCCGCCAGGATATACATATATCCAACCACTGCTGTTGCTGCTGTTTTATGTGTAACTTTCTCTCTGGCTAAGCTGTCGTCTCGTCACGCCACAACTAAAACAAGCGTACATTTTAATTTAATTTAAAAGCGCAACTTTGACCTGTTTTAATCGTATACGTATACAATTGTGCTAATCTCTTTTTCGTGATCTAAATTTATACCAACAAGAATAAAAATAACGGTGAACGCGACCACTGAATAAAATATCCTCCCATATTAGCATAGTCACACCGTAGTGTAAGGACCAACAAATAAGTGTACATAATACAAATCGCAGACAACGACAAAAAATTCGCTTTAGGCAGGCAGCAATATAACCTGCAACACACACACAGAGACACACGCACACACACACAAACACATATGCACATACGCACAGTCGAAGGCTGCTTACTGTGAAGGCTCCAAAGATTTTACAGCTACTCGCGTGGCGGTTCAATAACAGGTTAGTTGCCCAATTATTAATTGTTTTGACATTTAGCCAGTTACCTGCCATACACATAGTTTCGATTTCAAAGCCAAACAAATTGCGCATCAATTATGCAGAACAATGCCATGTCACTCACTCAATTGTTCCGGTCGTGTGAGTGTGGAGCAGCAGCCGCTGGCCACATTTCGAAGCATACATTTCTGCCCCATTGTTGCAGTATGAACTATACAAACATGTCTGCGACACATACACACACACACATACGTGTTTGCGGTATGCATGTGCTGGTGGAGTTTATATGGGAGCATTTATATCTCTGTGTCTGTGTGTGGCTGTATCATGCATGTGCCAGTGAGTGTGTACACACATACACACATGCCAGCTTGTGAATATGTGCAAGCAAACAATGTATGGACATGTGTGTGTGTGTGTGTGTGTGTGTGTGTGTATGTGAGTGAGTGAGTGAGAGTGCCAGCGTCCGTGTGTGTCTAATGCGTATGTAAATGTGAGAGTGCGACCCTGCCACTGGATAACAATAGCCACACTTCAATGACCTAGACCTCGACCACGAGAGATTTAAATGCCGCCAAGTGGGAGAGTGCATTGCAGTTGGCCTCCCACAAGTTCTAGGTCGTAATTTAAACTGCGCAATTCCAATTATGTCCATGTTGGCGCGACAAAATGTATAATTCGAATCTCATTGCGGATAATTCATATATGCTTTCAATTAATCAATTACATTATTTATTTACACTGTACGCGAATCCTTAAATATGTTCCAAATTCTCTGCTGCATTTGATATTATTGTTTCTATTTTTAAAATAATTTTCTTTATAAATTGTTTTGGTTCAATAAAATCGTTTTAAATTTCACTTTGAGATTTTGATAGCGCCATCTATGTTTCATATAATTTTTCACGCTCAATGGTAGGCCTTTTAATTTGTATCGCTGTTAAGACCAATTTTTATCGAAGCATTCCCTACTCACTGGTGCAATTTTTTATGTAGAAAAATAATCGTATTTGCCAAGCAACAGCTGTTCTGTTATATTTCTGTAGGAGTATTTCTCTTATTTATGATAATCAATAATTGCGTACCTTTTGATATTAATGAATCAAAACAATGATGCGCCTTCCATCTACTTAAAATCAAACACTTAAAAACCTTTTAAAATTGCGCGAAAAATCAATCTAAAGTAACGGAATTTTTACCAGAAGCAAATGTTTGCGCGCTGTTAATAACATTTTAGCAACTGTTTGATGCTTTTGAGTGCCCACATATGTAAAAAACATTCGTCGCTCATTTGCGTTGTTCTTTGGTCGCTGCCGCTACTCAGATTTGTGATTGTGAACTTAAAAAAAAAAAAGATAAACAAATTAATTCAAAAGATAATAAATGGATGTTAACTAGAAACCGTAAGTGTTAATGTTGCAGATGACCTGTGAGTGTGTGAGTGTGTGTATGTATGCGCGTAGGTGTGTGTATATTGTTTGTATGGGAATTGTTTGATAGAGATGAGCAATGGAAGTGACTTGGATTAAAATGTGATTTTAACTGCTGGCAGTGTATGTGAATATTGTATAAAATTGCATAGTATCTCTGATAACAGTGTAGACAGATATGCTATCGCAAGATAAGAACTAATCGGTGACTTGTGGCCATCGGCTAACTATAAGGTGTTTTATGCCTTTAGTGCAGATGTATGTATTTGCAGCCAATGAACCATTCACTCAAAAGTCACAGGTAATCCATGCATACTTACATACATACATATTACGCATCACTATTGTGCAGTTGCTTCGTTTCGTTTCCGCCACCCACAACAACAGCGCAGCGCAGCGCTGCGAAATTTATGCGACGATATGACAACAACAACAACATGAAAAAGATGACTGAATATAAAGAAGGAATAGCGCACAATACCCCATAATTATCAGAGAAGATTGAAGAAGCAATGGCAATTTGTCATGAATCAGAAGTCGCCGCAGCAGCAGAATCATACTGAACTGACTTACCCAGCCTTTTGTTATGTTTAGCTCGTTATCAAATAAGTAGCGAACAAAAATTCCGCAATGTTTGCCAGCAATAATATTCAAGTAAAATATTCTGAACTGTTTTACATATATATAGATGCATACATACATACACGCATACATTTATATGTAAGTGGGTACGCAGGCTTCTGTACCCGGTTATGATTTGTGCGAAATTTGATAGGTTCAAATTCGAATAATGCACAGAGCTGTGTGTGCGGTGGTCCCTCTTTGCATACGTGTGCTGGATGTGCGTGCGCGAGAGTGTGTGTGTGTGTGTGTGTGGGGATGTGCGTGTGAGTGTGTTGGTGGTCATGCGTGATGCCATATAACGGTAATTTGAGGTTTCTCTTGCCATCGCACTCGTTATTGTTGGTGTTTTTATGTCCGCTCTTCACCTTTGGCATTGGTCTTCTAGGAATTGTCAGCTCCTCTGACCTTGACACTCAGCCAACCACATGGCCATTTATGCAGCATTTGTGTGGGCGGTTGGGTGGGTGTACGGACGGCTGCAGTCCGCTCGTGTGCGTTGATGTCACCCGCTTCTGAAGTTTGCAGTAGATGCACATTAATTATGTGTGGGCATGTCGCTAGGGATACAAATGCACTTAATTAATGTGCGCTGTAAACTTATTATGCCTGGTTAAACTAATAATAAATTGAATATATCCAGATGCATAAAGCAAAATGCTGGATCAATATCTATCTATAGCAGATAGCGGGGGAGAGAGAGAGAGAAAGGAAATATAAGAACACAACCAAATAAAAGCTCTATCAAAATTTGTTGAAACAAAGTTATTTTTGAGTAATTTACTAGATTTATTATGAATCATATTTCTATAAGACTTAAGACTCTATTATGATATTATGACGCTTGAACTGTAAAGATCATTATTTATTAGACCTAAAAATATCTTAAATTGAGAATAAAAATCAACAGCTTGACTCAATGCACTTCCAAGGTTTCAGTTGAAAGGGTGCTTATGCTTAAGGATATTATATTAATATAAGAGTACTCTGATTACTCTTTACTGTTCTCCTTTAAAAACAGAAAGAAATCTTGCATTGGCTTATATTTCATGATCATATTTGGGGTATGCAAGACCAATGGAGATCGATTACCTACATATATACTACCCTCATATAAGTATACATATACATATGTATATAGGAAGGAAATTATATAAAACGATTTATTGGGTCTGAGACTAAATTAGTTAACTTTAAAGAAGACAAGTTTGCATGGGAATGTTTTACTTGTTCATATATGTACATAGGAAGGAAATTATCTATCCAGACAGGGCATACTCCAGTCAAGTACTATTGACTATGTCACTCTTACTTTTTGTTATCACCACTAAGTATTCCAAGTATTACGTCTCAAACTGTTTGTGTAGGATCAATATAGTACAATCACATTTATTCAGTTCGTTTTAGTGAATATTAAAAATGAGTAAATGTTAAAAATATCATCCTTATAGATTATTTCTTTGTTCGTGACTTTATATTATTTTTGTTTTTATTAAATTTATTGTGATTCAAATTGGATAAGGTGAACGAATTGTTTTTGTGGTGACTGTGGGCATGCTTATTGATTTGTGCGTAGAGTTTCAGCAAAGTTTATGGGCAACTTGTTGGAGCGCATGTTAATAAGGACCGAGAAACAAAAGCAAAAGTAATAAATTGCTTGGGTGGGTGTGGGCTGTGGTCTGCGGCACGGTGACTACGGCCTGGGGGCTTGGGGCGGCGGGTTAGCCATTGATGATGACGCACGGCGTGGCTTGTCTTTTTATTGGCCTGTGGCCGGGTCTGACGCACAATTGATAAACTGCAACAATAAACAGCTTACACTCCACACTTTACGGTTGTCTCATTGCTCGTCTTTATCTGAACGTTGCAGGGAAAAGCAACGAGTTCCACTGGCTGCGGCTGGAGCAATTGCTGTTGTCGCTTTGGCATACTTCTGGGCAACGCATTGTCGCCGGCTACCGCAAGACTGGGCAAAATTATGAACTTGTGCTCCTCGGCTGGTGCGACCGCATCGACTACATCGCTATCGTCCACGGGGCACGGAGAGAATAACGGGAGCAGTCCCTCTGAGGTTACGCATTGTTTTGGCGGCGGCGGTGGTGGCAGCGGCGGCGGAGGAGGAGGTGGTAGTAGAGGCGGCGGCGGCGGTTGCGGAACTGACACCACAGCACCCACACTTAGGAATCGAAGCACTGTGAACGGTGCCGGTAGCAATACGACAAGCAGCAACGGACACAATCTGACATATAACGAAAACAACGCAAACATGCCGCCCGAGACACGTCCCAAAATGGTGACGGTCAAGCATCCGGAATCAAACAAACCCAAGCCCACCACAAAGAAGATTGTGAAAAATATTCAGGCGGATCAGGATGTGATCAAGGCATTGCAGCGGTGCCGTGACGAAGGTGAGTTGTCCAAGCTAACTACGAAATCCAATTCTAATATAAATGAACTTTGCATTCCAGGCATCAAGCTGCTAGACTTGAGCAAGTCGTCAATCACTGTCTTACCGACGACGGTCAGGGAGTGCGTCCATCTCACCGAACTCTATCTGTATAGCAACAAGATTGTGCAGCTGCCGGCGGAAATTGGATGCTTGGTCAATTTGCGCAATCTGGCCTTGAACGAGAACTCGCTGACATCGCTGCCGGAGTCGCTGAGGAACTGTACACAGCTCAAGGTGCTAGATCTACGCCACAATAAGCTGGCCGAAATACCGCCAGTTATTTATCAGCTGCGCTCACTGACAACACTATATCTGCGCTTCAATCGAATCACTGCCGTGGCAGATGATCTGCGCCAGCTGGTCAACCTCACCATGCTCAGCCTGCGTGAGAACAAAATCAAGGAGCTGGGCAGCGCGATCGGCTCGCTGGTGAATCTGACAACGCTGGATGTGTCGCACAATCACTTGGAGCACCTACCGGATGACATTGGCAACTGTGTGAATCTGAATGCGCTCGACTTGCAGCACAACGAGCTGCTGGACATACCGGACAGCATTGGCAATCTGAAGTCGCTGGTGCGGCTTGGCCTGCGCTACAATCGACTGAGCTGCGTGCCCGTTTCGCTGAAGAACTGCAAGAGCATGGATGAGTTCAATGTGGAGGGCAACGGCATCACGCTGCTGCCAGACGGCATGCTCGCTAGCTTAAGTGCGTTGACCACAATCACATTGTCGCGCAATCAGTTCACCAGCTATCCGACTGGTGGGCCGGCGCAGTTCACCAATGTCTATAGTATTAATCTGGAGCACAATCGTATCGACAAGATTCCCTATGGCATATTCTCGCGCGCCAAGGGCCTGACAAAGCTGAATATGAAGGAGAACATGCTAACTGCGTTGCCGCTGGATGTGGGCACCTGGGTGAACATGGTCGAGCTGAACCTGGCTACCAATGCGTTGCAGAAGCTGCCCGACGATATCATGAATCTGCAGAACTTGGAAATACTCATACTGTCCAACAACATGCTCAAGAAGATACCCAACACCATTGGCAACTTGCGCAAGTTGCGCATTCTGGATCTGGAGGAGAATCGCATCGAGGTGCTCCCGCATGAAGTTGGCCTGCTGCACGAGCTGCAGCGACTGATATTGCAGACTAATCAGATAACGATGCTGCCGCGTAGCATTGGCCATTTGAGCAATCTAACGCATCTTTCTGTTAGCGAGAACAATCTACAATTTTTGCCCGAGGAGATTGGCTCGTTGGAGAGCCTGGAGAACCTCTATATCAATCAAAATCCAGGCCTGGAGAAGTTACCGTTCGAGCTGGCGCTGTGCCAGAACCTAAAGTATTTGAACATTGACAAATGCCCGCTGGGCACCATTCCGCCCGAGATCCAAGCTGGCGGCCCATCGCTTGTGCTGCAATGGCTCAAGATGCACTCACCCTATCGGCAGATGTGAGATGTGGATGGCGTCTGGCGCACCGTTTACGTTGGCAGCGACTGCTACTATCAGTACGAGCTGCAGGCGGCGCAACAGACGCAGGGTAAGCAGGCGGGACGCTCCACCAATGAGCGAACCAATGAGCGGCGCTAACGGTGCGAGCTTTGCTAAGTTTAGCAATCCATGTTAGCCCCACCCCCACCCCGGTCATGCCTGTGGGCCACACCTCTCCCCATAAACATACACACCGCAAACAGAATACACACAGATTACCCCGACTGGAGTGCGTTGCCTGGCAAATGATAGCTTTAAACAAATTGTTATACCAACGTCCCGCGTATTGTAAAACTGCCCCGATTTGCTTTTACCTTATGTTTAACTCTTAAGTTCACACGTTCGAAGCTGCTTAGCGACATCTGACTTGGTCCTCAACGTTTAGGTTTTAGTTGTATGCTTCCAAGCTAGTCATAAAAAAAAAAAAAAAACAACTCACAAACAAACGAAACTAAATCTAATTTAATTATATTAAAGCTTTAGAAAAGAACAAATACTTTTTTCGTTTCGTTCGATACTCGTTTAAAGACATTAACAAAAACAAAACAAAACAAAACAAAAAGAAGAAAACTAACTGTCATTAAGGAAAGCTAAATCGAATGTTCAAAAACACAAAAAAATACGCAAGCGCCATGGAATTGTTTGGAAAAAAGAATTAAAAAATTAAATGAAAAAAAAACTAAATATACATACATATATAAAAATAATTATTAACGTACTTTGTACACAAGTATAAAAACTAAATGAAAAGTATTAATAATTTGATTACTATTGAAAGTTTTTTTGAGCGCTTCAAGCAAGTTTATATTGATATGGTGCACCCTATATATATACATATATATATATATAAGTACATATTTGTGGATCGGCTTGTAGCGCGTCATTTAAGTTTCTATTAAAGCACAGGCATTATAAGTATTTTAAACACTTGAATGTTAAATAAAAAAGAAAAGGAAAAAAAAAATATATGTCAATGTGTGTGCGTGTATAAAAAATAATTGTTAAATTTGATTTCGACAATTTTGGTTAATAATAATCACATACAATTTTTGTATGGCAAACAAAGAAAAACACACATACTTGCAAGGGTATAATGCCACCTAATTGATAAGCGAACTATATAAGTCGATATACATACTATATACATATAGATAACAATTGAACTGGAGACATTCTGACATTGTAGACATATATACATATATTTGACACGTTTTGGTAACCAAGAATCAGACTATACGAGTACATCCGAACCAGTAGAGCAATTCAACAAGGAATCCCGTTTTCCTAGTACATTTGAAGTACTCAGAACTAGATCGAAGATATATTTGTTCAAATAGACAGCTCGAAGTCTTTGTTCCTGGGATATCGTCTATTGAATTTCCAACAGACGATATCTCGCTGAAAGAGTACAAATTTGTAAGAAGCTGAAAAATCGATTTTTAAGGCAACGTTTTTTATGCAATATAAGATTTTTCGATTTTTAAAATATTTTGAAATCAGTTCTGGTTTCAAACTCGGATATGTCAAAGATTATGAACTGATTCTTGGTCCCTATAATAATTGTTAAAGTGTGTTTAATGAATTTTATGTCTAAACAGCTCAAGATTCATAATTGTTTATTTTTCTTAGACGAAAACTACAAGTTTTTCTCTCATTTTAAACATAATTAAAAGACAACATACGGCATGCTATAAACTGAGCAGCTTTCTGTCGCAACGCAAAAGGGCTTTAAGAATCATTTTGAATACCAAGTACATCTGAATCAACGAAACTAACTTTAAATACTATAATACATGCATGAATCATGTTACGAGCTATAGCTATACTTTTACATACATATTTTACATAGGCATACATATATACGACTATTTTTTAGAAACACTAGAATGCTATACATACATACAAACAAATTCATACACTCATACATACATCATACATATATGTTTTATCTCAAGATATAAGATATTATACTCATACAATTGTAATTGAATTACAAAACGCTTAACAAAAATAGTAAACAAAGTACGAAAATCGTAAAATGCAAACGGTACAAAACAAAAATAAATAAGATAAATGGAAACTTAACAAAATAGTTTAATAAATGTTACAAATTGTTCGCACACCTGAAGCACACACATAAAACATATAATATTGAATTTAGAAATGAGCAAAAATACAAACTAACGTAAATTTGAAGATGAAAATTGAAATGTTAGTACAAGTACATCATATATGTTAGACTAGAACGATGGATTCGGTAAAGTCAAAATGTAAAGATATTCCTAAACATACAAAACATATTTGAGAAATAAACATAATGTTAAAATTCAATGTTAAAACACTGAGAAGTTCAATCTACTAATCTCCAAAGCTTTGCGTGATCTCCGTGCACTGTAAAATGATTCACTCAATCGTGTGTGGTTAAAAGACTCCCGAGATCACTGTTAAAAAGGTTAATGTGTGCTGGGCTGCGCACTGTTAACTAACCATTCTGTTAGTGCGCGCTGTTAAACAATATGAGTCTTTTAACAGTGGTGCTGGAGCCGAGCTCTAGTGGGCGACTCAAAAGAATTGAGCATGAGGGTAATAGTATAAATCACACGCTTACAAAACAGCTGTTAGCTTTCTCCCACTCTCTAGCGATGGCTCTCTTTGTCTACTTCAGTCGCTTACTCACAAACTTACATGTTGCGATAATAAAAGCTCAAGTGCTCGCATCATTCTGCCAGTCAGCGTCTAGAAGAAAACAACGCAGTTTGCAACCGAATTAATAGTGCAAACAAAAGCCGTTTAAGGACTTGAGTAAACAATTTTATCAATTAAGCAGTCAGCGAACAGGTAAGTTTCTTGGCGAAATGTAAACTGTGTATAGCATTGGAATTGATAACGATTAAAAAAAGCTCCAGTACTTCTCTTTGTTCTTTTGGCTCGATTGTTTAATGCGTATATACATATGTACATATATAAATATTCATTGTTTTATTATTGAAATAATTTCGATTCGACTTGATAAGGTTTTGCCTTTAAAAGTGTCGCATTCCCGTTGAGCGCTTCGCAGTGCGCATATCAAAAGCAATTCTTATCCATCTTCCGTACCGAACTCTGATCTCCTCGCAGCTTCCGCAACACAATGCAAGTGTTATTGCTCTTTTTTGTTGCCTGCGTATCCATTGGCCATTCGCAGGCATACTCGGCGTATCGAGATGCTCAGATTATAGCTGAGTATAAACGGCAGCTGATATTGAATCATGCCAAGATCGCACGTCAACTGGTACATCGCGCCAATTGGGCGTCTGTGGGCAGCATTTCGACCAATAAAATTGTGAAAGACTATCCCATGGTGAACATTATCTCAGTTGACGACAATAACCTGGAGGGCAAGTCTTCGGGCGTGATTCGTTTCCTGCTCACCGATTTGGACTTCACGGGTCCGGACTGGCAGAACAATAACAAAGTAACTTTCCTGTTTACGGATGAGCAGACGCTGAACTGCAAGAATGCCAACAAGGATCCGATGGAGCCTACCTGTGCGCGCGTGATAATCAGCGGTCAGGTCAAGAAGGTATGTAAAGCTGAGTTGTAAAATGCTTGAAAATAAAAATTTATACATTACATATTATGTATCCCATGTAATAGCTCCCGAAAGATGAACCTAGCTATACTCCAGCTCTTAATACATTTATTGCTCGACATCCGGCAGCGGTTAACTGGATAAAAGGTAAGCGTAGCAAATGTTATGGGGAAATAACTCGATAAATTTTAAATACTTCTTTTTTAGAACACAACTTCTATCTCTGCGAACTCGATATTCAGAATATATTCGTGCTGGACTTCTATGGCGGGCCGCACCAGGTCAACGCCTCGGACTATTATGCAATTAAAATTTAAGACTGGGTTTGAGTAGGTCTCCCTATAAGACCCACAAGTCTTTTGTTTACAATCCGAGTAATGTATACAGTGATAAGCAAAAGTCTATATAATGCTCTACTGAACAAGCGATCCTACGTGCTTCTCGTCTCGCCCTCTTTCTTTTTTTCTATCGGACTTTGCATGTGATAAGCTTTAATATAATATAGAACAAATGGTGATAAATGTGTATATATATGCTACATATGTTTATACTATGGAAGGGTGTTACATGAGACCCAGGAGCATTTCGTTTGTCCACTGTATTCTAGGAAAAACAAAATCAATTACTTGTAACATTTTGAATATATATTGTAAGTTTTAGGTGTATAATATAATCATTGGATTCGATAATTGCCATGTGCCAGGACGTTACGCATGTTGGCCCGGCAGCACGCAGAGGGTGGCATCTATTTTCTGTAACTGGGGAAGAATGTCGCGTAGCTTGGAGCGATAGCGGACATCTGTGGCCACGGGATTATGTTCCAGGTAGATCGTCTGCAAGGCTTTGTTGACCTTCAGTACCTCGAGATTTTTCCAGTTGTCGATCCCATTGTCGTTTAACCAGAGCTCTTCGAGCTGCTGCAGCGCCTCCAGGTTGGCAATAACCTTCAATCTGTTTTTGGCCAAGTCGAGTGTGTCCAGACACTTGTTCTCGGACAGATTCTCAATGGTCTCGATGCCATTCTCTGATATGTACAGCTCCTTCAGATTGGTCAGCTTCTCCAAATTCTCGATTTTGACAATACGATTTGCCTGCAGACTCAGTATCTCCAGGTTGACTAGCGTATCTAGATTTTCAATCTTTGCGATTTTGTTCTTGCCCAGAAATAGCTGACGCAGATTTACCAATGTCTCGATGTTCTCAATTTTCTTCAGCTTGTTGTCGCCCAGCTCCAGCATTGTCAGATTGGTCAACATGCCCAAGTTCTCGATGACAGTTAGTTTGTTGGCCACAAAGTAGAGTTTCTCTAGTTTTACCAGCTTGTCCAAATTCTCGATTTTGGTCAGACGATTGAAGCTGAGGTCGAGTATTTCCAAATTGACTAACTTATCTAAATTCTCAATTTTTGTGATCTGGTTATCATACAGTTCCAGCTCCACCAGGGTTTTTAGCATGTCCAGGTTTTCGATCTTTTTGATGAGGTTCCATCGCAGATACAATCGTTCGATCTGTTTCAACGGCTCGAAATTTTCGAGCTTATCGATACGACGATGATTCAGATCCAGTTCATAGCATTCGGGATCAATCATCACGATTTCCTCAATTGACGCCACCAGCTCTCCCGGTATGATCTGCATTCCGGCCGTTGGCTTCGCTTCTCCACTAATCGGGACTGCATTGTCGCCGTCAGCCATACTCATAAGAATGCTGTACGTTTTCTTAATTATATATACAAATTTAATAAATTATAAATGCCGCCTGCCCTGCCCGACGATTTTCTTGTTGGTTTTTCTTATTATTTGCCGAATGTTATTTAGTGTTGTAAAAGAGTACGAAAAAAATTGGCAAATTAGTGTGGTAAGGGATTTTACTGTGCTCGGTATGCTACTCATATAAGCGCATTTCTCATTTTTGGTTGTCAGTAGAAATTACCAAAAATTGTTTTAGCTGTAATAAATGTCTAAGTCTGTATCTAGTTTTTATCAAATATATTGAGTTGTAAATCAAATAAAAATTCTCAAAAATTGAATTGTTGCATTTGCTGCAAAAATTTTGATCGTTTCGTTTGTTATTGTTATCAGCGTACTTGACACAGCAGCCAGACTCTTGTTGCATTTCAGCTGAATGTGTATTTAGTGTTGAAAAAGTACAAAAAGTTTAAAACGCAGTGTTGCCAGTTAGTTGCTGAGATAGGTATGCAGCTCATGAGAGCTGAGATAATATATATTGTTAAGTAGTTAATAAATAATATAATTCACATTTTTGTTTGCATTATAATAATAATATTAAATATACATTTATTACCGTTATTAAATGTATTAAACAGTTTTAGTTCAGTCTAGCTCCAACAAATTTTTATCTACCTCTTCGATTGCCAGCGTACTGTCCGTAACAGCTGTTCATAGGTATTTTGGACTTTTGTGAGAACGCGTGCAGCATTAGTTTTAATGTGTAAAAGTTTTATGTTGAGTTTGTAGGGAAAATGTCGTGAAAATTGAATCCAATGGCAATTTGTGCTCACATTAACGACTCGTTAGATATTCTGTTATTATCAAGCAGCTGAACAAACAACATGTCGACGGGCTTCAAATGCCGGAATTGCGGTTCCAATGAGATCGAGGAGGACAATGCACGCGGTGATCGCGGTAAGCAAGCAGCCGACAGTCTATAGATTCCCCAATTCTTCGACTTCAGACTTCTTGTGCTTTTAGTTTGCATGAACTGCGGCTCTGTGCTGGAGGATTCGCTTATTGTGTCGGAGGTGCAGTTCGAGGAAATGGGCCATGGAGCCTCCGCTATTGGACAATTCGTGTCTGCGGAGTCTTCAGGCGGCGCAACAAACTATGGCTATGGTAAATTCCAAGTTGGATCCGGCACAGAGTCGCGCGAGGTGACAATCAAGAAGGCCAAGAAGGACATCACTCTTCTCTGCCAGCAGCTGCAGCTGACCCAGCACTATGCGGACACAGCGCTCAATTTCTTCAAAATGGCCCTGCATCGACATCTGACACGGGGACGCAAAAGCACCCACATCTATGCGGCCTGCGTCTATATGACCTGCCGCACCGAGGGCACGTCACGTAAGTGTAGATAGATATTACTGTAGTCCCTTCAGAAGTACTTATCCAATCTCTGCTTACAGATCTGCTCATCGACATCAGCGACGTACAACAGATTTGCTCCTACGAGCTGGGACGAACTTACCTGAAGCTGTCACATGCTTTGTGCATAAATATACCATCCGTAGGTGAGTTTGAACTCGGAGTTTTTATATACCCGAAAATGGGGAATCGGGCTGTGATTTTGCTAAAATGCAACAGGTGGAATAAGGCGTGGCTAACCCCTTTAAGTTTATATATTCTTAATCAAAACGACGAGCTGAGTCGATTTTGCCTTGCCCGTCTATTTATCTATCCACCCATCTGTCCCCTTATATTGACGCATCGATATCAGAGCTCGTAAGATCCAGGGACTTGAAAATTTCTTGTAAGAGGAATCGTCTCGAACAGGCTTAAAGGTTGAAGAATATATTCTATCCGCAGCTTTCATTTCATAATATCCTTCTTTAAAAACATTTAAATTCGAGAAAAATCTAATATATTTTATTGATTAATAGTCGTAATACATAATTCATAGAGTCATAAACAATATATAGGATAACATTCGTCTTACGCATATGGTATATAAAAAGTTTGTTTTTTATTTTGAAAAAATAAAAAAATCAGTACAATTTTCAAGGAATTGAAAACTTGAATTCAAATATGATTTTTGCGCCGTGCAGCTCAAGAAGATTCATGCAGATTCGTTTATTCGATATTAGGGGAAATCAAGTCTATAATTGGTTTATGTCGGCCTGGAAAAAAGGCTTTTATATTACGTTTATAGAAATAATGCAACTACAAATGCACGCTACAAGAAATACATAGTTATATTAATAATTTTAGCGCGTATATAGCATGTAATCTGTGTATGTCTTTGTTTTGTGAAGAAGAATTTGGCATTTACTAATGCTAATTAAGTGTGTACATCTTTTTACGGTTAACTTGGCTTTCAAATTCCTACGCGTACTTTAACATGGCGTAATAGACTCTTTCAAGTGTATATAGTGTATATATATATGTTGGTTTAGTATATGCTGGCAAAAAATATTTCTGATATTTAATATGTATGTATATATCTATATATATATATATTCTTGTTTTGCATTCAGTTGTTTATTTAGAATATATTTAGTTATCATTAGCTTGACTGATTGCCCGTTGTTTACTTGCTTATTGAAGATGCCTTCGATTACCTTATCTGCTTGCTTGCTTCGCAATGTCTCTTGGAACGTATATAGTATTAGTAATAGGTTTGGGTGTATATCATCAACTTTTGGGGGCTTACGTTATCCAAATTTTAAATAGTTTCTTTTTGTATGCATTTACCAACAGACGTTATATGTGTATGTATGTGTGTTTGTTTATATGTATGTACTACGATAACTAGAGCACTCTACTGTATTGTGATTCTATAAGTGTTAAGTGTATATATATAATAATAATATGTATCTATATATATATATCAATCTAATATCGCTTTCCTTAAAACTCCAATTTGCTTTGTTGTGTTGCACTGAAAACCCATGAGTTTCGATTTTGTGTTTGTTGTGGTTGAATCTGTGTTGGTCTCTTCGATAGCTGCTGCTGCTGGTGCTGTGTCTGCTGGCGGTAGTAGCAGGCGCCCTGCCACTCCGCACAGTATAGCTGCGCGCATCAGGTGTTGCTGCCATCGCTGCTGGCGCTTGTGCTTCCGACTGGCAGCTCATCAGCAGCGTTGTTAGCATTGTTGCTGCCATTGGCTGTGACTGTTCCGCTGCTGCCGCTTGTAATGGCTGGCGTTGCTCCTATGGGCGTGGCGCAGATTGAGCTTGTGGGCGAGTTGAGCGCGGTGACTGCTGTGGGTCCGTAAAAGATCAGTTCGGGTATCTGGCCACCCTGCACGCCGGTGCCGTTGGTGCTCTCCGACGAGCACTGGAATTGGAATGTAACATTGCCCATGAGCACCTCAGACATGCCCTCTTGCCCGAAGAAGCTGAGCTCGTTGCCATCCAGTATTACTGAGGCTGTGTAGTGACACTCCGGCTCTATCTGTATGGGATTCTCGAAGAATACGTGGAAAGTGTTGCTCGAGCCATCCGAAAAGAACTTTGTGTCGTTCTCCGCTAGCGTGCGACCCAAACGCTTCAGCTCGATCTTTACATTGTAGTTAGCTGCACCCGTGGACGAGCCGTAGAGCCCAAAGCCCACAATGAATATTCTGGTCAAGCAAGAAATATGTATGTGAATAGCTGATTAATTTTAGCCTGGTTTGGTTTGACTTACCTGCGATCCACTGAGAACTGTATGGAGTCGCAGCGGCCTCGATAGCGCCACTGATTGGAGCGATAGGCGCACGATTGAAACCGATGGCAAACTTGAGTTTTGAGACCAGCACGCGGACGCGTGGGAAAGCTGAGAGTGGGCTTGATTTTTGCAGTGAAATGCAAAAACATGTCAATTGTCTCCTGGGACGTGAGTATGCCCGTTTGGGCAACGCCATTGGCGAACTCCTCCAGGCTCATTGTCGGTATGCGTATCAGATGCAGTGCCTGGCCTAGAACGCGGCGCTTGTTCGCCGACGTTTCGTCAATGCTCATCTTCTCGCAGGCATTCACGGCCCAATTGAGCGCCGCTTCAAATAGATGAATCTCCTTACAGTTTAGGGTCTCGCGCGACAATATTGATTCGAATGTTTTGAGGTCAATGTCCACAAAATCTTCGGACTTAACCGCCATCTCGGCCTGGGCATCTATCACTTCCCAGCAACGTTGCATCAGTTCGGGCTCCTCGAAAAGACGCGATTGACTGAGAAGTAGGCAGGCGTTTTTTGCCGTCAACTTGACTTCCAGATAGTTGACGCAGGCGCGCGCCAAGTGTGGCACAATATACTTTTTAGCTGCGTACAATGTGGCCAGTATGTGTTCAGGTTCCAGTTTGATTTCATCACAATAGAGATACCTGGGAACAAACATAATGCCAAAGCGTCTAAAATTGTTCACTAAGAGAGTTCTGATTGACTCTTACCTTAGCAGCGTTAAGAAGGCTGTGGGCTCTACATCGGGTACCTTTATCTCCTGCTTGTTCTCCGCCAATCCGCCGTAAAACATGGCGTAAAACACAGAGCTGCCCGTGGCGAGAATGTACTTGTGTGCGGGTATGGTTTGAATGGGATCGAAATCTATTCAGTGTGGAGGACATTGGATTTGGAATTGATTAAATTATTTTGATGATATGCATGCTTCGGTTTAACTCACCGAACTCGCTGCCCACAATGAACTTCACGTCCGACAGCAGCTCATTGTTGAACATCGCTGCATTGCGCTCCAGCACGGTTGCCTTGCTGGCCTGCCAGTTCGGATCGGCCGTGTCAATGGCATTCGAGGCGCCAACAGCGGCATAGCTGCTATTGCTGCCCGCTGCACAGACGTACGATCCGCTGCCGCTGCTGGGCGTTGTTGTTGCCGTCGCTGCATTGGCAGCAGCCACCGCCGAGGCAATGGCCGCGGCTGTCGCTGAACTGGAGGGCAGACAGAATGTGGTCGGACTGCTGCCACTGTTGTTGCTATTCAAGGCGCCAGGCGAAGCCAGCGGCGAGGATGGTGCACTGATCGGCTGTGTTATTTGTATATTGTGATCGGCGGCGCTGCCTGACCCCGGCCCCGGGGATGTGACTGCAGCACCACGTTGCTGCTGCTGTTGCTGGTGGTTATGTGGTGGCGAGTGCAAGAGGCCGTTGCCATTGTTAAGCGTCTCCACTGTAAAATTGAATAGTTATAAATTACGCATTTAGAATATAGTCTTAGCATTATATCTAAACCGTGGCCAACCGAACTCCGCCAGTTTCTGCACAATTCGCTGCAGCATTTGTTAACCGCTAGACGGCGAGGCCTCACTTCCACGACTGTGCTAGCAGCCATCGGTGCCCCCATTCGTCGTGGCTGCAACAGCTGCGGCCCCCTCCTATAACACTCCCCCATATCGGATGCGA